TTGGCAGGGAACTGACAGGGTAGTAGGATGCCCTTTAAAGAAGACGCGATGGCTTCCTCTTGCGCGCGCGGTTTCTCGATTGGCTGTTGGCTTTTTTTACCTTTTGTTCGGCTATCGTGTTGCATCTGTCAAGTTTCAGCCATAGTCCAAAAAAAAGAAAGAACGCCACGATGAGAGTTGGTTTGAAAGCCGGCGGCCTTCTTTGGCTTGCCGCGTCGCTTTGCGGCACGCAGAGCGCCTTAGCTCAAGATGTTGACTGGCCGATTCATGACAATGGCCTCAACGAAGTCGTCCAATGGTAGGTTCCCGTAGTTCATTGACAGGTAGGATATTGGGCTTAATGCTGACCGAACTCTACCCAGGGATCACCACAGCTACATTGTAAACGGAGAGAGACTCTTCGTCTTCTCTGGCGAGGTATGGCAACTCACTCCCTTGCCGTGCCGCATGTCGGGATCGTCTCGCTAACAAGTGTAGTTTCACTACTGGCGTATTCCTGTGTTCGTAATCCAACTCAATATCATTTGCAGTGTGCTGAGCTTACTGACACATCTTCAAGCCCCGAACTTTGGCGAGATCTCCTGGAAAAGGTCAAGGCGGCTGGGTAAGACTATCGTCTCCTGAGTAACAGAATTTCTCGTGGCTGACTGCAGACGACAGCTTCAATGCCTTCTCCATCTACAACCACTGGGGTTACCACAACCCCACGCCTGGTGTCTTGGACTTTGACACCGGCGCTCACAACTTCACCTCCATCATGACCGTCGCCAAGGAACTCGGCATCTACCTCATTATCAGACCTGGACCCTACGTCAACGCCGAGACCAACGCCGGCGGCTTCCCTCTCTGGGCCACCACTGGCGCCTACGGCTCTCTGAGAAACGACGACGAGAGATACACTGCGGCATGGACCCCCTTCTGGTCGGAGATTTCCAAGATCATCAAGCCCCATCTGATCACCAACGGCGGAAACGTTATCATGTTCCAGGTACGCGATCATCCCCAAGAACTTACGAAAGCGCATCTGCTAAGTGGAAACACAGATCGAGAACGAGCTCAACGGACAATGGAAGGACATTCCCAAGAGAGTCTTGAACCCGCCCATCGCCAACTATATGCAGCTTCTCCAGGACAGTGCCCGTGAGAATGGAATCGACGTGCCCCTCTCTCATAACGCCCCCAACATGGTACGTGACTAAGTCGAGGGGAAATGTGTCTTCCGCTTTCTAATATCATCTAGCGCGGCTTTTCATGGTCCAAAGACTTTTCCAATGCTACTGGAAACGTCGATGTCGTCGGTGTCGACAGCTACCCTTCATGCTGGAGCTGCAACTTGAGCGAGTGTACCGGCACAAACGGAGCCTACATTCCCTACGTGAGTATCTTCGAGCCACCGCAACGACTGTATCTTGCTAACCATTCCAATTTGCAGCTGACTCAAGATTACTACTCCTACTTCACGGTCCAATCGCCGTAAGTATTCCGGGTTGAAACACGCTCAAATCAGAATTCTAATCATCTTGCAGGTCGCAACCCAACTTCCTTCCTGAGTTCCAAGGCGGTTCCTACAACCCCTGGGGCGGACCCGAAGGTGGCTGCCCCAGCGACATTGGTGCTGACTTTGCCAACATCTTCTACCGTGATCTTATCTACCAGAGAGTTACCGCAATTTCCCTCTACATGATGTTTGGCGGAACCAACTGGGGTTGGCTCGCTTGTCCCGTCGTTGGTAAGTCCACATCGCTATCGTACGGTATGGGAGATCGACTCGTGCTAACAAGACGGGCCAGCTTCGAGTTACGACTACTCTTCCCCGGTATCTGAGAACAGAATCATTGGCAGCAAGTTCCACGAGACAAAGCTTTTGACTCTCTTCACTAGAGGTTCGTAGAACATTTGCCTTTGTAGGAGGCAAGATGAATTCTAACATTTGAGTAGTGGCCAAGGATCTGACAAAGACTGAGAGAGTTGGAAACGTAAGTCAAGCGGTGATGCCAGAAAAGTGAGATTCTGATCTGTCTCAGGGTACCGGCTACACCACCAACTCAGCCATCACCGTGTCCGAGCTCCGCAATGTCGACAATAACGCAGCTTTCTACGTTGCTCGTCACGCCTACTCCCCTTCCAACACCAACGAGGCTTTCAAGCTCTCTGTCAACACCTCGCAGGGTGCCCGTAAGTCTTCCCTGTACTTGATTCAAAATCCTGCGGATCAATTGCTGACTTGGCTCAAGTCACCATTCCCCAGCACGGCAGCTCGATCGCCATCAATGGCCACCAAGCCAAGGTCCTCGTCACCGACTTCACCTTTGGCGAGAAGACGCTCCTCTACTCCACCGCTGAAGTTCTGAGCTACACCATTCTTGACGGCCAAGAGGTCATTGCCCTCTGGCTTCCCGAGGGCGAGGCTGGCGAGTTCACAGTCACTGGCGCCAACTCTGCCAAGCTCATTGGTGACGGCAACGTCGCGGACTTCAACGTCTACCCGGGCGAGAGCAACGTCACCATCGCGTACACACAGAAGAAGGGCATCACGCTCGTCGACCTCGGAGATGGATCCCGCGCTGTTCTTCTCGACCGCAGCGCCGCGTACCTCTTCTGGGTTCCCGTGCTTGACAACGACCCCTTTTCGCCGGCCAACAAGACTGGTGAGTTTGTTCGTTGACGCATTTGATACAATTTTACTGAAAAACATTTTGCAGTCTTCGTTCAGGGACCATACCTCGTCCGTCACGCTGCCTTTAACGAGACTGGCCGTAGCCTGGCGCTCTCTGGAGATGCCGACCAGGAGACCACCATCACCGTCTTTGCCTCCGCGTCCATCTGCGGCATCACCTGGAACGGCAAGAAGCTCGAGCTACTTTCGAGAGAGGGCAACGTTTTCACCGCCAAGATCGAGGGTCCTACTAAGTTTGAGGTGCCTGCACTCGGACCCTGGAAGGTTCACGACAGCTTGCCTGAAATTGCTACCGATTACGAAGCCACCTCGGACAGCTGGGTTGGTAAGTGATGCCTACTATAACTTGTTGCATCATTATAGAAGGAATACGATCTAACAATTTTCTAGCCGCTACCAAGACCAACACCTCCAACACCGTCAAGCCCGCCTCCAACAACCCCGTCCTCTACGTAGACGAGTACGACATCCACGTCGGGAACCACATCTACCGCGCAACCTTCCCGACCTCCGAGTCTGCCCCGACCGGCGTCTTCCTCAACGTCACCGGCGGTCTGGCCTTCGGCTACTCCGTCTGGCTCAACTCCGAGTACGTCGGCTCCTACCTCGGTCTCTCCTACCTCGGAGCAGACGCCAGCTCGTTCTCCTTTGAGAACGCGACTCTGTCCAAGACCGGCGACAACGTCCTCGTCGTCATCATGGACAACTCAGGCCACGACTTGCGTGAGGCGGCGCTTGCGCCCCGCGGTATCACCAACGCCACTCTACTCGGCCCCGACGCCGCAAACTACAAGTTTTCTGAGTGGAAGATTGCCGGCACCGCTGGCCGCAACGACCTCATTGACCCCGTTCGCGGTCCCATCAACGAGGGCGGTCTGTATGCCGAGCGCGTTGGAGCTCATCTCCCCGGCTACCCCGATGCGGACTGGGAGTCCTTTGACTCCGCCAACGGATCTCTCTCCGTTCCTGATGCCGGCATCCGCGTCTTCCGCACCGTTGTCCCGCTTGACGTCCCTGCTGGTCTCGATGTCTCCATTTCGTTCCGCCTTACAGCCGCTACCGATGATACGAACCGCCTTCGCGCACTTCTCTTCGTCAACGGCTACCAGTATGGTCGCTTCAACCCGTACATCGGCAACCAGGTTCAGTTCCCTGTTCCGACTGGTATTCTCAACTACAATGGAGACAACACGATTGCCGTCACTGTTTGGAGTCAGGCTGCGGAGGGTGTTGCGCTGAATGTTGAGTGGCAGGCGGATTATGTCCATACTTCTAGCTTCGATATGAGCTTCGACAGCAAGTCTTTGAGACCTGACTGGGATGAGAGCCGTTCGGCGTTTGCCTAGATATCTTGAGTATTAGGTTCATGTCATACGACATGAGAAATCAAAAGACTTTAATGTGCACCAAATAGCCTTTATTTTCGCGCGATTGTTAACTATCAAGGCATCAAGCGGACGGATGCCCAGTGCCAGCTATCAAGATGCATTCTCAAAACTCCATCTGGAGCTACACCTGGAGGGCTGATATTATGCCCATGAGAACGAGAGCCAAACTTTTGGCAATCATCACTTAGAACGCTGCTGATCACTTGATAACGAGGGTATTCTTTAAGTTTGTATTTACGAACCCAATTTCAGCGGCGTAGTAGCCCATCACAAGGCTCCGGACACGTTTTGTGTCCCTATGGCCATGGTGACGAAGGTAGCTATGCCCGGAGAGTTTTAATCACTCGTGAGCACCGCGGCAGTGAATTCAATTCAGGAAATATCTTTTCATGGATAGAGCGTCTTGGCTTTCATGATAAAACCACAAATTGGTTGATGTAGAGTTGGTGTAGTGGTTTGTATGAGTTAGCATTTTAGATGCAGAACATCTGTACGAAACCACCAGGCAAGCACCACCGTCACATATGGTCCTTCCTCCAGGAAAAGATGAGGATTGATTTCTTAAAAGAAAAAAATTCCCCATTCTGGAGGGGAAAGAGCACCTCGCGAGGTAAACTCCTTCTTCTTATCCCCTCGGCCCCTCGCTTCCTTCCTCTGCAGTCAGACTCAGAACTCACTCGAAGCTCTATAAAATATCTCCATGAGTTCTCTTGGCTCATAATCTTCCTCAATTTTCCAACTTCAACCTCACCGGAGAAGAACGCCACAGTAGTATCGCGACTTTTTCATGATTATATCTTGATACACTTACCGAACTTCATCTTTGCCGCACTCTTTTACACAGGATTTTCACTACTACATATCGTTCAAAATTTTCAATCATTCTCTCAAATCCCGGCTTTGTGAGCTACAAGAAGCTATCGCAATCCTCAATAATGGCTTCAGTCCCAAGCAAAGAGCTTGTGGTGGCGCGATACAAGCTCACAAGTGAGAAGATTGCTGACAACGACTCTAGCAACGTCAAAGCCTGGCTTACGAAAAACACGACTCACAACATTCCTTGGGTTCTCCGAGTTCTTCCTGACTACGTTTCAGTTCTCAGAAACCAATTTCCCGGATATCTAGACATCATCCAGCAATCTCGCAACACTGGCTGCGTGAATGGCACCGCCTTACTTTCAATTACACAAAAAGTCTCGACCGTGGGTGGAGATGAGCGCCCGGAGCAACTTTACCGAACAATTCATGGTGGGCAACCTCACCAGGGCATCAAGTCTCGTCTGGGACGGGGAAGCGACCCAATCTTCCTCCACATTCACTTGCGAAAGCATCTACGCGGGAACTGTCGTGAACCGAGTCCCTTCCTCTCAGCTACCAACAGTCGTGCAAAAGCTGTGGAATTCGCTGTCGCATATGAGGACCGAGGATTTTCTAACATTACGATCCTGTTATTCGAGACCACTAGCGCAGACTGGAACCACAACACGCAGAGACTGTGGGATTCGAAAGCCTTGCTTCGCCGATTGAACAAGAAAAAAGAGGCTGGTGTCTGTTTCGAGAAGGAGTTCCTTGTTGAGCACTCTATCCCGGAAACTAGCATCCAACGAAGATACAACTGGCCAAGTGAGAAGGCCAAAATCGACCCTAACGGCTTCATGGAGAAGCGTGCTCGCAAAGCCCTGGAGAGTAAGAAGGAGAGCATTGAGGAGGCCAAGGAGGCAAAAGCTTCCCAGAAACGCAAGAACTACGACGACGAGAATGGAGACAATGCTGAAGAGTTGGTTGGTGGGGGTGTATCGAAGCCCCGGCAGAAGAAGAGAAAGCAGGGCGTAAGGGTCATCGTTGGTCCCAAGCTGAGACGCGATGGAGGTGCTTGAAATGAATCGTGAGCGGTTGCTCGGCACAGGCAAAGGAGTTCATTGGATTTTGGAGTTGAGATATCCGGGGAATATGGAAATTTGGAGTAAGCCTCGCGGGCGATTTGCGAATGATGGGGAACAGGTTATGGATCACTGGGAGCGCTTCAGGTTTTGCAGGCGCGCAATTGGACTGGGGCCAAGGCATCGTTAGATATTCGAATCTCTCCAACTAGAACTCATTTGATCTTCAGTTACGTTCATCTTCATCACTCTGTTGGCCATTCATGTAAAGTGATGTCATGTTGGAAAGGGCATTACGGAGGACAAGTGTCTTGGTAGTGCCGATGACCCGCACGGCAAGTGGCTATTCGCATCCGAGGAAGCGGCGATGGATAACTGCGCGGATATTAGAAGGTAGTATCTTTTCAGGAAAGGCAGGCAGACATCTCTTATTGAAGGTTGGGCAAGAGCGATGAGAAAACGAAGTACCTTAGTGCTCATCTTCTGCTTCATGGTTCTAGCCGCCATCATCTGTCATTGCTATTCTTCTCCCCAACATACCAGGCCACTCGTATTATCGTTTGTTTCATCGCCATATCATCACGCACCACAGCACAAGATAACCAAAGCGTATTACCATGGCCGAAGTTGTCGAATTCACAATTTTCAATTGTTTGCCAAAGGAGATCAGACGCATGGTATGGCGCGAGACCCTCGAAGACCGGCTCGTGGTCGTAAACCCCAAGGCAGACTGGCTTGCTCGAAGAAGTCGCTTGCCCGTCATGTCCGCCGTTCATCGAGAAAGCCGCAAGGTCTTCTTGGGCATGTACATTCGGCTGATCAGCGAGTCTACTGGCATGCCTCATAACACAACCTCCTTTGATTGGCTTATCAAAGACCATGTCTACCTCAATCCTGATGTTGACACCCTCATTCTCGGTACGATCGTTGACAGGCTAGGGGGTTACCGATTCGCGCTCACCAGCCCTCAATGGCTTGAGAAAGTTGACGGCTTGGGGGACTTGATTATATACCCAACCTTTCCCGGCTATATCAAAGAGCGACTTCGAAAAGTGCGTCTACACGACACCTGCTTCCTGCAGCGGATATTTAACCGGAGACTTGATAGAGGGGAAAGTCTCTCCTCTTACAGCCCTTTCACTCTTTGCAGCTCAGCGGGCCCCATTCCACTTCCCAGTCTTCAATTCCCATGTCTCGAGGTCATCCACCTGGTTTCTCTGCTTTGCGTTCCAATACCAGTAATCACGCACCATGGTCTGACAGCATGGTCGATGCGTGGCATTGGAGTTCATTTTCGCTACGTATTGCCAATCAACGAGCTTTATTGGCGTCGCGATACAAGTCTATCCAGCGAGTATTTCGGAGGCATACGGCCGAACGATCGTATCCCTGACGGTCACTTCAGGGTCGACCCGAATGAGAGTTTTGGTATCCGAATCGACATCTTTCGCGACAGCAATCTCGATTGGGTCACTGACGCCTAGTTCCCCGTCGATGGATTTCAACCGATGCACCTGGCTTGGAAGATTGCTGTGGAATACATCTCGATGCGCCTGGGCGAAAGTTAGGGGTGATTGGTGTTGGGCTTGCCGTCTCGGACACCTCCGGTCTGTTGGGAAACAACACGCATGTGTATGCAGGGGACTTTCAGAGCCAGTATTTCAGTAGATAAGCCTTCGCATTGCTACTATTGAAGGCCGGCGCCACACGAAACATTTCTCCTTTCGATTCAATCGATTCCGGTATGGATACTCTGGCATTGTTTGTGACTTCGTGGCTACGTAGATGCTGCAGAGAGATGTTTGTACGATGACCCGGATTTCCCTCAAAACGAACCCCTTAGGGTCGCCTCCTCCTCCAGCAACTCCTCCCACTCGTTGTGAGATCTCGGCGCGAATGGCCTTGACTTTATATTTCATGGCTAAACTGAGAGGATTCAGTTTCTATTCAACTGCCCGGTATCTCAAGGCTTCAGAGCCGAGTTCGAAGCTCTCTACATAAAGGAGGCCAAATACCTCTACGCTCCTACTCTCGCTCCACTTCACCACGCAACCATCACGCCGTCTCTCAACCTAATTGCAAAGGTATGTTCTTATCCCAGTCAAAGTGGACTCTACATTGTTTCAGCAACTGTCTTCAGCATGGTCAGTTTTCAAGCCGACGCGAGCTTGCAGCTTCTCCTTCGGTTGACATATGTCTTTGAATATCTTGTCGGACCCTCCATTTGATTCGGGGACGAAGAGAAATCCGTCATGTTTGCTCATTGAGATGTAGCAACACGCCTTCTATCAAGCTCTCTCATTGTGCATTCTTGTCATTGCTCCTCCCACCAGTGTTATGCAACCGTTGACTCCCAATTCCACTTGGATCGACTACCAATCTATGAGACCATAAGAGAAATGGCAGAGAAGGGAGATGTTTACAAAGGACGAGAAATACCAAAAGGTTCAAAAGACTTTGAACTCTCCTTGAAATGTTCGCGTTCCTTTGTCAGTGCTTTACCTCATTAAAATAATCCTCCCTCCCAAGTCTGTCTTTTGAGGTCCTTTGTCGAGTTCACAAGAATCTAGCAGGCCTTTGGAAGAAAATTTGCCGAGATGAATGCGTGATCCAGTGCTGATAACTTCATATCAGGTATGGACCTGGACTGAAGCTGCTTTCAGACGAAGCTATTGTAAGAACAAGGACGAGATTGATTCGAGGACAACTCTACTCATCCACAGCCAAGAGCAGCACCGAATCTCACTTGTCCGAACACCTTCTCGTCTGAAGGTAAGAATCCGTCTGAAAGTGATCGTCTGAACGCCGGACGAGGAGCCATCCCACCTGAAAACCTCATCAGCAAGCAACCGCCACATCACGGGCGAGAGCACCTCATAACAAAGCTGCCCACCCAAACTCACGATGATAGTTCCCGCTTTAAAGAACCTTTCTCAACACCAGACGGGAGGCCATCACGACTAAGCAAGCCCATTGATCATGTGACATCCCTCGGAATATCTATCTAAATCTACTCCTGGGTTGCCACTTGGCTCCCTTCTTTCCAAAAAAATCTCTTCCATCCTACACTTCAGGGACACGAAGAGCTTTCATCATCAGAATCTACCAAACAATCGACGATGGCTCAGCAAACTTCCCTTGCGTCCAACGATCCTCCTACCAACAATCCCCCCGACATCGTCAAAGAGGCCATGTCTTCTCCCTCGCTTGACAACTCGTCCAACGTTGCCGCTGCCGACAAGCCTACCGACGTCGTCATGTCCTCTATCTCAGTCGACAACTTGACTAACGCTGTCGCCGCTGACAAGCCTACCGACACCGTCGTGGAAACCGTGTCTTCCACTGCGGCTGGTCACTCATCTAACATCGTCACCGCCAATAGCCCCTCCGACATCGTCATTAATACCATGTCCTCTTCCTCGGTTGACGAGTCGTCGAACGTGGTCGCTGCCAATGAGCAATCTGACGCGGTCATGAATACCATGTCTTCCCCCGCCGTTGAGATCTCGTCCAACATCGCCACCCTAGACAGCCTTGCAAATACGGTCATCTCGAACATGCCTTCTCCCTCAGTTGGCAACTCTTCCGACATCGACATCACCGACAACCGTTCTGACGCCTACATCGAGATCAATTCCTCTCCGTCGACTGGCAACTTGTCCGACTCAGCTACCGCCAACAACCTTGTCGATGCTGTCGTCTCGGTTGTGTCTTCTCCCTCCGTTGCCAACTCCTCCGACATTGCTATCGCCGGCGACTCTCCTGATGCGGTCATCGAGATTATGTCTTCCCCTTCGGTTGACAGCTCCTCCAACGTTGCAATCGCCGACAACGCCTCCGACGCCGTCATTGAGATCACGTCTTCCCCCTTGGCTGCCGACATCCCGTCTGACACCACCCCCAGCGCTACCAGTCTCCATCGCCTTCCGCTTGCAGTCCGTTCGGTCATCTAGGAGATGGTCGCCGAGTCTTCTGGCCAGCTTGTTGGTATCGGTCCGAATGCAGACGCCAATGCGCGCCGCCCTGGCTACCCTGCCTTTGCCTTCGTCAACAAGGAGTCCTTCCATGCCTTTCTCCAGGCGTACATTCGTATCGACAAGCATCCGAATGATCCAATCGTCTACCACTCTGATCTCATTGACCCAGTCGATATGCAGGATTATGAGTTTGCCGAGGCGGCTTTCCTTCTGCCTGGCGTCGATTGTGTTTACATCAATCCTCGTACCGACGAGGTTTCTCTTGGCTATAAGACCGACATTCCCGGCCCCGCCTTCTATCCCGGCTTCATCAATCCCAACCTTGGAGACGAGATCAACTCACAGCTCAAGATGGTGCGCATCGTCATGGAAGACTTCTCCGCATGGACTGATGAGCACGAGTATCCTCTGCTCTACCACAACTTCCTCAACAAGAAGCCCGTCGCCAGCATCGACGTGAGCCAGCTGAAGTACCCCAACATTGACCAGATCACCGTGATCTTTCGCGGCCTCGAGACTGAGTGGAAGGGCGACAGCAACCACTACGTCGTCAACTATAACGTCGACACCAACCGCGTCTTTGTCGACTACGACCGTGAGAACGCCGAGGACATGGTCGAGGATACCTTCCGTCTCGAGGCGCACAAGGTGTACGAGACCAAGCCGGATGAGATGCTCGTTGCCCAGGAGCCGGATGGAACCAACGATGAGGATGATAAGGCGATTCTCTCGGTTCGGATCATCTTTCATCGCGACTCGGACAAGGACTACGGTCCCTACCTTCTCGAGCCCTTCGATCTCGAGGAGATCCTCGATCCGGAGGACTTGACCGAGGGCGGTCAGATGGAGAGAATCTTCTGGGAGATTGCCGCCACCGCCGTCAAGGAGCGCCTTTAAGAGGCTTCATCACAACACCACCGCCGCCACCGCCATGGCCTTGCTGTCCTGGGCCTCGGCCTATTCCCTGCAGACACCACCACCGGCGATGCCTAGCAGCTGTTCAAGCTAGCTAGGTATCGTCGGGGAGGTGTCTGCGGAGGAGAGGAGGAGGGGAGGGATGGGGGAGGGGAAAGGGGGCTGTTTGCTTGTTTGCGGGCTCTTGGAGCCGGAGCCTGGCCGGTGAGGGTCAGGTTCTGGTTCTGGGGGCCTGCCTTTATATCAGAGAAAAGAACCATTACGTTTCACCATGAGGAACCATATGCTTGTGACTGTGACCATACTTATGTAATGAAATTGCTGTCTCCAGTGCTTCCTTATCGCTTGGGAGCTCCTTGGTCTACATCTCCCCGGAACGTAGACATGTGGAAGCAGCTCGGATCCGGCGTAGCAGTCATCATAGCTGATCCGAGGGAAGAAGCGAGGATTTGTTATCCTCAAACCAGCTCTGGAAGAGACCAAGCTCCAATGGAAGTAATTGCGAAGAGTAGGGGAACCAGAGCAGGTGTGAGAAAGGCGCCTCACGCCAATTGCTCTTCGTCTCCGCTACATGACATTAATCACCTTGCATACTGTGCTGGCCGAGACCAAGAAAGAAATCCAGGTCTCAGATTCAGGGAATCAAACCAAAGCAGGAAGGGAAAGGAAGACGCTCGAGGTGAGTTACATTCCCTTACTGGCGTTTCCTTCCCAAAGGCCTTTAGGAAGGCAAGTCCAGTCACAATTGCCTGGAGCATTTTTCCGTCCTCGAAGCCTTCCGATATTTTACAAAACTCCAAAACTGCATCATCGTCATTCCTTCGACCATGCGCCTCGCTCATCTCCAAAACACTACGGGCAGTCAGAAAAGACGGGCTCTCTCAAGCCCATCCACATCGTGTCCGCCCGCATCCAGAATAGGCAGGTTTTCGGCGAAGCAGAAAACTCCACATTTCCGTCTGACCGGGCCCGGGCTCGGCTCGTAGCAAGAACCCAACCGGAGCACAAACCTGCGCCCATTCATCGCCGCTCGCGAGAGTGCCATGCATCCAAAGCTGTCCGCGGCCGCCGAGAAAATGGAGTCAAATCACCATCGGGATGTTGTACACGGCCTATAACCGATAGTTTTCTGGGACAATGTCAGCAGACTACGTTAAGCGTACTTTACGTCCGTTAACACCGTGAGCAGACCGCTGTTTTACATATTCAGAATCATGCCATGACAGTGTCACCGGGATGAAGATCGAGGCACTCTCTCGGGATATAAGTCCCAACATCACCAAGTTCCCCAAAGATCACACGACAGCTCTTCAAGCCCATTCCCCATCTCGACACTTACCAACATCGCAACAATGGTCAATGTCGCAATCGCAGGCGGTACAGGCGCCGTAGGCCGCACCCTCATCGAAGTGTTAGCCACCCAGACAAAACATCAAGCCTTCATTCTCTCCCGCAAGGCCCCCAGTCCAGAGGAAACTCCCCTGGCCCCGACGTTCGAGGTAGACTACTCAAAAATTGACGCCCTCAAGACGTTCCTCGAAGAACACGATATCCACACCATCATCAGCGCGTTCGGCATCACCGCCACGTCCCTCGCGACGTCGCAGCTGAACCTCATCAAGGCGGCCGACCTCTCGTCCGCGACGAAGCGTTTCATTCCCAGCTCGTTTGCGATGCGGTACCCCGAAGAGTATGTACTCTCCTGTATAGCCTCTACTACAAAGCCCCCAACTAACACTTCACCACCACAGCGGCGTCGCTCTCCTCCCACCACTGGAACACTACTTCACCTCTCTCCAAACCCTCTCCCAGACCAACCTCGAATACGCCGCCGTCCACAACGGCACTTTCTTAGAATACTTTGCTCCCCCGACCCTCAAATCCCACCACCCGCACAGCACAATCGTCCTCGACATCGCCCACGCCGCCGCCGCGATCCCAGGCGACGGAAACACTCCCGTGACGTTCACATACACCTTTGACGTGGCGCGCTACGTCGTCGCGGCGCTGGATCTCCCCTCCTGGCCCGCGGACCACGAACTCCGCATCGTGGGCGATGAACTCACCTTTAACAAGTTCGTCAAGCTTGCGGAAGAAGTCAAGGGCGAAAAGTTCAATGTGGTCTACGATGACGTGGAGAAGCTCAAGAGGTCCGAGATTTCAGAGTTACCCGGCCACAAGGCGTCGTATGCGCAGTTTCCCAAGGAGAGGCTACAGTGGTTCTTGTCGATTTTTGAGCAGTGGATGGCGACTGGGTTGGGAAAAGTCGAGGGCGGCAAGGGATCGTTGAATGAGCTGTTCCCCGAGATTAAGCCTTTGACTGCGAGGGAGATGTTGGAGAAGTATTGGAAGGCATAAATAAGGTAGTAGCGGTGGGTGGTCTAGGGTACTTTGGGGACTTGAGTTTCATTCCATTTCAATTTTGAGTTCAAAAGATCGGAGTTCACCCAGACCTTGAATTGGAGAACACCAAAACCAGAATTAACGTGCCCAAACCGCTGTCGTCTATTGAGAACCAATCTCACAATAGATCACCGAAAAATGCAAAAATGAACTTCTTGCGACCTACGTAGGGATCGAACCTACAATCTTCACAGTATGACTAAGAGAGAAGCCGAAATGTGACGCGATGCCATTTCGCCAGCAGGCCAACGCTGACTGATGACAAAGAAAGCGCAACAAACAACTCATGTACCTCATTGTGGCAGGGGCTCTGCATTCCAACGGAATGGATGGAAGCTGCCCCACGATGTGGGGTTCGATCGTCCGGTCCCTCGACAAACAATACAACACAAACACTACTTTGTAGACAAAGACCACGCATATTGCTTTTTTGTTTGTTTGTGCAGGTATTATAATTAGATCCCCGAGATCTATCATATCGGGGATCTCTGTGACAGAAACAGGAATCTAAACAAATAATCTAACAAACGAACTGGGTATCGCACACAGGAGGGGAGGCCCGCGCATCCGGGCAAAGGTAAGGTAGGTGTATACACATACACTGCATCGCATCGCAATCGCAATCACTTCACCTCCACGACAACAGCAGAATCAGCAGACCCTGCGTCCGTCTGGGCATCCGCTTCAATCCTTGCACCTTCGCCCTCGCCCTCGCTCTCCGCCTCAGGATCCCACACCGCTTCAATGATGCTCATCCTGCAGCCTGGAGGCCTCATCACGCCCTTGAACACGAACCGCTCGTCCGCGGCCCTGAAGAGCTCGCGGTACTCGTCCTCGTTGCGCTCCTGCGCGTTGAGCACCGCCAACATCACCATGTCCATGCTGCGGATGATACGCTCGTCCCAGGGCGTCTCTTGTCCGGCCTCGCGGAGGCAGTGGTCCTTGATGACTACCCTGGCGCCGGGTGTCAGTGCGGGAACGAGGTTCTTGAGGATGGAAATGGCGTAGGGCGTCGAGTAGTTGTGCATGATCCAGCGGAAGAAGTAGACTGTTTGTGCGGTTCAATTAGTCCCGGGGGGCGCCCCACAACAGAATCCTGGGAAAAGATTAAGACAAAGAACTCACCATCGGCATCCTTAAAGGTCTGCTCCTTGAAAAAGTCGTGCGCCATGAGCTGAACGCGCTCTGCAACCTGAGCGTCGTCGGACAACGGGCTTGGCGCCGACTCCACAGTCTTGGGAAGGTCCTGCACTACAAACTTCATATTCTTCCACTTCTTGGCCAGGTCAATCGACACAAATCCATGGCTGCCGCCAATGTCGACCATGGTTCCTCCCCTGGCGTCAATCTCTTCGAAATCGTACGAGTCGACGAGATGCCTGACCTCGTAGCCCTCTCCGCCCGTCAAGCTGAGCATGGCACCGCCAAATCGCTTGGCGCGAGGAGGGTCCTTGCCAAAGGTGACAAACATTGGTTCCTTGTCTACGGTGTTGAATGCAAAGTTGAAGCCGGTTCGTGTGAGGGAGGTGGCTTCCGGGTACGCCTTGAGAGCCTGCAGAACGTGCGCGGACGCCGGGAAGTTGTCCTCGAGGTTGTAGCCCACCCAATCCTGAAGGGCTTGGTCTTCGGCCAGGAGGCGTGATGCCGCAGTGTGCGCGATCACTCCATGGGATGGTTCGCAGAAGATACGATTTGTCATGACATGGCGCAGTACACGGGCAAGGTTGACGGGATCCAGTGTCGTCTTGGTCTGAAGCTCTGCCAGTGTGATGGTGCCATCGATGGGTACAAGCTTGGCTAGGAAGTGTCAGTCTCGAGTGCGGTAGAAGAACCTCCTAGCTCTACAGTCTTGGGCTTACCGATGCCAAAATGGTTGACAAGCTGAAGACTCAAACTGTCTTGAAACTGCCAACTAATCAGCTTGCGATCTTTACCATTTTCCCGACTTCGCTACTCACACTCCACGTCTTCCACCGAACGTCCTCTCTTGGGCCGTGAGCCAATGCTTCGAGCTCTCTTGTTGCAAAGATAATCTCCATACGGCTCTTTTGAATGTCGTCGGGAAGTTTGGGGAAATCGCCGGGGCCATTGGGATCCAAGGTGGGCATTGGCAGGTTGTTCTCTTGCATATACCTCTCCAACTTCTCTGTCTCGGACGCAATCTTCTTCGCAAGCTCAGTTAGTCTCGACGGCGTATAGGCAGGCTTCTCGGAGGCGACAGGCGCGGGCTTTAAAATCGGCGCTCCATTGGGGACATCGTCTCTGGGTTTGGCGGCAGAACGAGTGATGAATGGGGTGAATGATCGTCGGTTCTGCTTCTTATGCTCAACCTCTGCGGCGGTGGGTGACGGGCTGGTACCCAGCCAGTTGCTAAACTTGAATTTGTTCATCTTTGCGATGGCAGTCAGAACAAAGATGTTGATGGTATGCGGATGTCGAGAGGACTTTGTGCTTTTCCAGTTAGCATGGATGAAGGGAATCGCACGCGCCAGGAAAGGGGGCGGTTCACCCGCTTGAGATACAGGAGCACTAGCATCGATGATCGCATACTCCGCCTTCATTAGCCATCTACGCTCGAGCTTGAGATTGAGCTAGATTGGGCTAAGGCAGGTACATGGTGAAGGAATGCGCCAGACGATGAAGCTGCGGGGCAACAAGATATGGGGGCAAAGGACTATTCGGGAGGCTACTTTGGAGATGCATTCGATATGAGGGAAAGAAGATGGTAGAAAGAAACCTGTACACACCTTCCAAATGCCTCAAAACTACAAGGTAGTCGATTCCCACGATCTTCTGAAATGGGCTGGGCGACAGATTCGCTGAGAGAGGTGACAGACAGGGTTGCGGCGACGCTCGGAACGATTGTGACACAGAGGGACCCGAGGACACGGACTCGGACTCGACTGACACAAATCAGGGCCAGCTGGCATGCAAAAGAAACGGTGACGGTTTTATACCAAGTTCGCCAATGAGTGTGAAATGCAGACACGGGAAATTGAGGTCTGAATGGTTTGTCTGGTAAACAAGTTTGCAGTGAGTTTGCGACGATGAGTTTGTGAGCGCCGAGAAGTTTGGGGGAGAACAATCGAAAACTCTCATCAAAACACCAGGAGGACCCAAGGGGACGGCAAGGAGGGATACATCCCAGTTTAATACGACGGACGGCATTGGACGATGGGTACTGGGTAGGTAAGGTAGGGACCCAGAGTACTAGATAGGCAGAGGCAGAGATACGGTACTGACGGGAGGTAGAGACTAAGAGAGCCAGACACGAATGGAACGAAACAGCGAGGATGGAACTCTTGGTTCACCGAGCGTGGGCCTTGGACGGAACAGGAACTGGGATGGGCGCTGAATCGCTCAGTATTGCGACGACACCTCATTAGCTAGCGGCGGTCCATGCTTTGGGATCCGACGCCATGGGCTGGGATTGCCGTCTGCGTTGCGTGCCTTTTGCGTTCAAGTCTCTCCTTGTCCTCGACTCGTCGGGCTTTTTAAGCTTGGGAGTGGCTGGCGGCTAGAAGAGTCTGTTCGGACGAAGGCCATGCGCCGGCGCGGAGCCATCGACGATCGCTCAGGGTCCCAAGCTCCCCCAAGCTAAGCTGCATGGCTGTTAAGCTCGTAAGCTTCCATGGCGAAGCAGTCCTGGAATGGCATCGCCGACAACAACATGAGGGGCTTTCTGTTCAGAGTTGAAAGTCGACCGGGACCGAAGCCGTGCTGGAACTGATGGATGACTGAGAAGTGGGATCAGCGAGACAGACAGGGGCTCGGCCGGGAGTCGAACGGGTAAATTGGAACCAAATGGGACAGGGCAGACAAAAGGGGTGGTTGCCGTTGAGTACCTTAGGTCCCCTTCTACACTATGTCAGAACTGTGAGGTAAGATGAGGTAGTTTGACCGGTGGCAGCGTCGTATCAATTCGTTGACGAATCCCGCCCGCCGTTGGATGGGGAATTCTGCAGTGCCGTTGATTTGGGAACCTGTTCGTCAATTGACCGGCGTGGGTTCGGGATAGACGTGACAGGAAGAAACAACCTAAGAAAGAGACTGGTCACATTTCCTCGCATTGTTGCCGTGGTCAGATGTCAAGTTTCTGGTTGATCGATGGCAGGCGGCGGCCGGCCTGGGATGTGTGGGATGTTTCCTGGATAGGAAAGGGAGGGAAGGCAATCCTCCCGTCCGGCGTCTTGTGGCAGGTGGCAGCGTGGCAGCCAGGCAGACTGACCAGTGAGTGACACCTGGGTTTGTATGAGTCGGGGGAGGAAGGCAAAGAGGGGAAAGCATGGAAGGTGCAGACGAGTGCAGTTGCCAGTCACTCGCTGCCTGCAGTGTGGGTGCACCGCAACGGGCTGTCCCTTCCCTTCCACCTACCTTGAGCCTTGAGGTACCTCAGGTATCCCCCGCCTCGTTACCACACAGGCGGCAGGCACCTTCCCACGGGCAGTTTCCAAGACACCGGTGACTGGGCAAGCGTGACTGCCCTGCGCACTTGCCAATTGGGCTTGACGAGTTAGGTTGTCAGTGTTGGGAAGGTGCGGCACAGCACCATCACAACCCGGTCTTTCCATCCCGTCAACAACGTGGAAGGACCTGACCAACCATTGACCAATGGACTTGTTCAATACCTTGAGGCTTACCGTCAGGTGGAGTCTCGACCTGCAACTGCGGCGGGAATTAAGTGGTTCTTGCCCTCGCTAAGGTACGGACATGTCTCTCTCTGTTTTTTCTTTCGAAAGGAACCTAAGAACTGAACCATTGACGGCTTCCATGCAAGTTCCATCCATCCCCCCCCCCCCCGCCAAAAAGCACGAGAGAGGGTACCCGCCGTTCCGGACCTGGGAAATGGCGTCCTGAAATCCCTGGTCGTCTTATTGCAATGCAACGGCAACGTGCTCCGTCAACCAATGCCGCCCGCCTTCCGCCCTCCTTTCTCCTCTTCCCAAGCCACGGCTTGCACCACATTACTTGATCCTATTCCTCTTCCATCAGACACCGCAGAAGCTCGTTGTCTAGCGCTCGCCCATGTCACCTCATCACGAAAACTATGCTCCTCTCGCAATCTCGCCTCTTGTCGCCAAGACCAGGCCACGATGCGGCTATCCATGTGCACCCTCTAGCCGACCGTCTCATCACTCTTCACATCCCCCGCCAAGCAGAAACCCATACATGATACGTCCGTAATACCGACCGTACCGAACCTACCCATCACCAAACTCGACAAAGTCGCACAAACCCATTCCGCTTGCAGAAGTTCAGAACAGACACCCGCTCAATACTGAACGCTAATGGCCCTCCACGGAGCCACAAACCCTATCTCTCGAGGCAAAGCCCGCCTTAGGACTGATACCTAGGAGCTCTTCCTCAGTGCACTACGAATACCTAGGGAAATCCCCGTACGCCGGCTTCTGCGCATACATGATCCTCAATGGCATGTACATCAAGGCCGCATTATCGTGATACGCTCGCCGCACGCTGACGAGGAACATTTCAATCTGCTCTGGTGTCCACAGCAACCCTCTGGTCAGTGGGCCGAGAGCAATCGCCTGCAGTCCGTCGAGAAGAATCGTCCTCCAGTACATGCCTACTGTCTTGAGCACCCTGTTCCGCGGCCATGTACCAAGCGGCACGTGGAAAATCTTCTCCGTCACGTTGACGAACCCGGCCTCGCGCATCATATTAGGCAGCCGATCGCCTGCGGCAGCATTAAAGTCGATGCCGAGGCTCGTGAGTCCCTGGGTCACGAAACTCCAATACTGAGCCACCGGGTGTGAGGGCGGCATGGCGTTGTATGCTGATGACGGGAAGTGATGGATCTCTTGCAATTCGATCCAGCCGCCAGGCTTCAGGTGCCTATCAACGTGTTAGGCCTATCTTTGACAAGTCGTGAATGTACGACTTACTCATATGCCCTGTGGAATAGGTTCCTCCAGTTCTTGATGGCCATGACCGTGTGTCGAGAATGGATATAATCAAAATGATTCCTCGGATACAACCACGAGCTTTCTACATCATCAACTTCAAACTTGACATTTGGCGGTACCCAGTCCGGTTGAATGGGGCTGAGATCGACTCCCAGCACTGTTGCACTCTCAAACTGGTCACCCACTACATTGTCGTTAGCATCACGAACTCTCCACCAACTGTGCCAAAATCAGAGTCTCCCAACTTACTCTCAATGGCCCACGCGCCTGTCCCCGTCCCGATATCCAAGATTTGCTGCGGCCACTCGCCAATGGGTGCAAAGTGCAGCTTCTGATTGCACAACAGCTTCACCATGGCATGCTTCATGTCTTCACGCTCCTGCTCCACCTCGTCGTTGGGAAAGTTGTACAGTCCTTCTCGGAAGCGGTGATAGCGTCGCCCATTCTCGTACATGTAATCTCGAACTGATGACGTGACGGACGTACTGGCATTTGTCGCACTGTCGCTTCCGTATCCGCCATCCGACTCTGTGCCGTCAAAAATCGAGGCCATGTCGTCACTGTCTGCCACGATGGAGCTTTCGGCTTGCGTTGCGGCTTCCGACGATTCCGTGACCTCTTGCTCGGCCGACAGATCTGGGAAAATCGGGACGCCATTGGGATGCGTCAAAGGCGACCGCAGCGCAGGAAATGCATCGTGAGGTAGGTGTTGGTTCGCCTCATATGCGTTGCGGTTGGCGGATACAAAATCGGGTGCTGCTTGAGTCCTTCCCACGGGTTCGCTAGTGTCTGTCTTGGCCGCCGCGGGGTCATCGGGTAGCCGATCAAGCCTGGGCGGCTTCTCCTTCTTCGCTGGCGCCGATGCTGTCGCGTCCGTCATTGAGTCGATCAATCGTTGCTGATTTGAATGCGCAACGGCGGGTTCTGTTGTGTTTTCTGCAAGTTGAGAAGAGAGCCCCGAGTTTCGTTCCTCGTGTTGCGGGAGCACGAGTTGACCGTCGGGCGCCACATATTGCTTTTTTGAGGTCCATGCCTGACCAGGGATGCCATCATCCTCTCGCGTCGCAATAGCAGCTGGCAGCTCGTGTCTGCTCGCAGAAAGTGTCTCAGATCCGATGCCCATAGAGGCATGAGCCTTGTCTTCTTTGTCTTGGAGCCCTTCTAGAGACGGTGTTCTAGCGGTTCCACCAGATGTCAACAGCATCTCGCTTGTCCGCTCATCTGCTGTCGAAAGCCCCGTCATTGCGGTCATTGGACGATGTACGCAGTCAAAAACGGCCACCGCCTTTCGTTTCGATGCTTCGATGCTTCAGTCTCGGTCGGTTCCAATCAGAGCTTGTTCGAACGTTGTTGGACTCTTCAGTTGTCGCCTCTGCGCCACTCGAGCATCAAGAAGTTGACGAGGATTTTGGGAAATGGACCGATCTTTAAAAGCGCAGATTCAGCCTGAACTTGTATCATGCGACGAACAAGGAGGCAACTTGCGGCTGCAGTTGTACGAGGCACTGGTCATTCACCATCAGCCAACGCTCGGCCGTGGCGCACAAACAGGAGCTTGGCGAAACTCCAAAGTACAGCACGTTGGAGCTTTATCTGACGGAATGACGGAGGGAATGACAGCTCAGGCCACCCATGCGTCAACTACCTGACTTTGCCAATACATCAAAGTAGGGTGGACAGGTCTGAATGTGATCCGTCAAGGGCCCGTTGGTCTGGCCTGCTCTTTGTGGCTTGCCCTCAATATCGTTCTCAACCCAGGCCTTTTTCCTTCTTCTTTTCTTTCCCCCACAGTGGGTACGGAGAGGCTCGACCCCTCGCCAAGACGGCAAGTAATCTATAGCCTTCCCTGGAGCTGCAACTTGACAGTACGGATAGATCGTTCAGCTCCAATTACCTGGTCGGTACGAAATCTCTGCGCCGCAACAACGAACAAGGTGACAAGGTTGCCTGTCCCGCCCGCGGCCCATCCCAGATCGAGCACGCTGCTGCAGGGGCCTAGACTGGCTCTCGAGCCGCCGCCCTGGTTGACTTGCGGACGGACTCGACGGAGGATGGGCGGGGTGGGGAAGGTTGCATCGATGCAGGTTTGCGAAGCGACAATGGCCATTCTTCTCTAGTCCCTCGATTCGTTGGTTGGATCTTGGGCAAACAAGTTCTCGTTCGCATTCGGATCTGGCTTGCTTCCTTTAAATCGCGCCTAGGGACCTCTTTTCGACGATGAGCCGTCAGACAATGAATGGCTGTTCGACTACTTTTAGGGCGAACAATACTCGCTGATAAATTTTCGAAAGGTAAACGTGCTTCTAGTACTCCGTTCCAAGGAGAATATTCGCGACATGATATGATGGATGGAGAGTCACTAGAAGCCACAGGCACATGACGACTTCGCTTAAGATTCATCTGCGCCATCATTGGTGCTTGGCCAAGGCAGCAATGCAACAGCCTCACTCTATCCGTGATGGTCGCTCCTTCGGGCAGCAATTGCCCAGCGCCAGCCTTCATAACATCGTCTATTTAGGACTCGATAGCATGGATTCCTCACGACAGCTATGTTGAAGGCGCCATCTCCTCTCCAGGATGGAAGACAAGATCTGCTCAGCATGCGCATCCATCGATTTCGCTGGCTTCTTCAAAGATGCTCAAGAAGTGGTTGGTAAAAGGTCAACCGAAGTCGACCACCACTTTCTCAACCCAGATGCCCCGGGTGCTCCCTTTGCGCTCTTATTTCTCGATTTTTCTGACAAAATCGTCCTGGCCGGCATTTCGGTCGACCACATCAAGAGCAACTCTAGTTGTAGCTGCTGCGAGACTCTCAGCTACACTGCATACGCAAGACCGCACACGTATCTTGTCTATTGCATACCCCACACGTTCCATGACCGATGCAACGACAACGCCGTCAACAGCAGCAACGAACTCCCACACCTCAAAATATATAGACCAGACTTATCGCAACAAATCGCAAACAAGGGGCCGATTCATTCAGTTGCCTTTGTACTGCGTCATTCAAAGCTAGCTCCTAGGTTTGAGCTAACACAGCCGGGGCACCGAGGGCCAGAAATCTCAGCAAACCTGTCCTCCTTAAAGTCTGCCGTGGCGCGAAGAACTTGCCCACACCATCTCAAGCCGCAGAGAAATCAAGACTGGAAAGAATTGTTTGAACGAAACCTCCCCGGGTGGAGTGTCATCGACTGTCTCACGGACAGAATTGTCAGCCTCGAGAATTGCGTTGCAGAATCGGGGTGTTTTGATGCAGTCGAATACGTTACTCTAAGTTATGTCTGGGGTTCTGGGCAAAGCGAAGGCCTGAAGCCGAATGGCAGACTGCCCACATCACTCCCTCGAGTCATCGGAGACGCTAAGATCGTTACGATTTCCCTGGGCTTCCGGTATCTTTGGGTCGATCGCTATTGTATTCCCCAGCCCCATTCGAAAGACGCTCACTACCAGATTCGGAACATGAATCTAATATATGCCCGGTCGTGCGTCACGATAGTTGCTGCAGCAGGTCAAGGCCCAGAATATGGATTACCTGGTATCAGCACGACATCCCGTAGAGGCTTCGAAGTTTTCCACGTCGGATCGTACAGTATCAAACGGATGCCGAGCGATGGATGGGTTGAGAAACAGATACAGCACTCAAGGTGGAACTCAAGGGCTTGGACCTGTCAAGAGGCAGCGTTATCAGCAAGGCGATTGTATTTCACTGACTACTTTGCCCTTCTGGAAAATGGCATCGATGGGGAGAGCTACATTGAAGGTCTGCCAGACCAAGTGTGCCCTTTTAACGGATGTATATGGGATGAGTTACTACACATGCCAGATGCAATCCCATACTCAGCAAGCTATGTCAGGCGAGAGCTCTCTTTCGAATCGGACGCATTTCGCGCCTACCAAGGATGCCAAGCTCATTATAATCGTGGGCAATCCGGGGAGTTTGTTATGTTTTTCGGGCTCAAGATTGGAGACAACTGCGAGCTTTCATCCGCTTTGCTGTGGGAATCCACAGAAACATCAAGTCAGCTTCAAAGACGCGCTGGGGTGCAAAGCTGGACGTGGCTGTGATGGCGCATCCCCTCCGGAGCCCAGGTTGACAGGGCAAAGCCATGGAGTGCATTCAACATTCCGATGGCGAGCTACAAGACATCGTTCATACCCTCTGTGCGTCTTTCACTTCTATATGAAGATAGATGCACAGTTGAATGGTTATTCATGACGAAGAAACGAATCCAGAGATTGATGAAGGAACGAGATGAAGGTACCATTACGTTCATTCTCGGAACAGGATGGACCTTCGGGCTCAGAAATTTGTGGTTCATGTCTGGGATAGACACATTCACCTCCAGGGGGGAGTCGTTAGAGAACACCGGCCAGGACCTCACGAAGACATTTGTCCGTATGTCTTATGTCACGGAACTGGAAGACGTTGCACGAGAAACCTACGGAGTGAAGAAAGAGGAGCTGATGGACGAGTCGCGAATTCTTTGTCTCTGTATTGGGGCGTTTGTTGATCGGGGGATAATTAGTTCCATTGCCTGTCTAGGCCTGGTATCGTGCGATGCCGGATTGACGTGGCAGCGGTTGACCGCATTTATCATCGAGTATGATGCAGACGGCATAGACCCCATGGCTTTGGGGTGGAAGTGGAAGGGGCTCTACATACGCTGAGTCTGAAATTCTACCCGCTTAAAAGTAATCGCCTAGACGTTACTGCACAGACGTAAGAACGCATTGTAGTACCAACGGCGGCAGCTTGTGCGTATAGCGTTGCCCTAGCGGCTACTTGGTTAGAAGTAGAGCAGGATGTTAGAGGTTCCGTATGGCTGAGGGATCTTTCTCCTACTCTCTGTAATTGCTTTAGGAACCGCAATTTCATACGTACGCGTGCAGTTGTGGTTCTAAACTCCGGTTGATTCTCATCATGAAGATTCGTCTCCGCAACAATCGTGCAAGCACCTTGATATCAAAGTTCTAGAACCTTTGGGGGCGGTCCAGGTGGCTCATGTGACTTTACAGACGTCCTCACGAGTCCCATTGTTAAGTTTCTGGACCGATCCTCGTCGTTAATTGAGATTGACGCCCTGACAGGTTGTATCTACCAGATGCACTGATAGTTTCTACAGTCCCTGAGAAGTATAGGAGCCAACTCATCAATACAGCGTCATTGCTTGGTCTGCGTTAATCTGCCAGAGATGGATTGGCTACCGCTTTTCCTCCTCCGATGTCAATGCTTATAATAGCCCTATTTCTCGCGATCTCCGAAGCCGGGAGAAAACTCCCTAGCAAGACTGGCCTTCGAAGTGCGAAATGCTTTAGGTATCTCCGTTGACGTGTTGGTCATTCCGATGGTCCTAGTCCGACACGGTGCCTCGCATTTCTGGCCTTGATTTCGGAGATGGAAAGTGCCAATGCTACAACTCAAGTCAGGTTTCCCGTGAATTTTGTTCTCAGCTGTGATTTATACACCATCGAAAACACCATCTCCAAGGAGAAGAACTCGGCAACAGTGTCATCTGGTTGTATATTAACATCAAATCGCAAGGAACCACTAACAGTATTGTCTGACCGTAGGTCTGCCTCAACCCCGTCGCAAACATTCCCCAGACACTAAACAAAACCAACGAAGAAAACCGACGTAATGGAGGGATCCAACGGGTCCGGCAAACTGGGAGGCGTATTTACCTACTTCCAATCCCTCCCCGACCTCGTTCCTCGACGCGCGAAAAACTCCATCCGCGGCTTCTTAGACGATTTCATCCTCCACAATATCACCTACATCTTCATCAAACCCTTCATGAGCAACGTCTTCCTCACCACGGCAATCTTGGTGACGATTGCAAGTATCACGCCTCATCCCTGGATCTTTGCCTTTTTCTCAATCTTCGCATATGCGCACAGTCATGTCGTGGATAAAGTGATCGCGGCGTTGGTATGGGTAGAGCCTGCGATTTGGATTGATGCGGTGGTGTTGTGGTTCATTCTGTCGGTTCACTTCTTCCGCGAGAGGAGACGACGGACTCCGAGGAGGGAGTGGATTGCTATGTGGGAGGTTGTCTCTTTGGGGATCAGTGCGGTTGTCTATCTCGCCCCATGGGCGCCTGTACAGGACTCCTCTTCCACGTACGATTCAGCCTCGGCGACTCCTTTCAACGAGGATGGAGAGTTTCAAATGACGTGGGGCCATTATGCTTCCCTACTGCTCGTTCTCCGCGAAGTCAATGGCGCGTTTGAGGAATCCATTTCACGGACTAAGCTCGATGCCCAAATAGCACCCCAGGGCGGGAAGTATGAGTGCTTCAAGAGGCTGTGGTATTGCCTTCGTTTCTGGGGTTGGAGCGTGTTGCGTCGGGCGACGACGTATCTGTGTGTTATGGCTGCTTGGGATACAGTGGTGGAGTTGGTGGTTTGGGAGTATGTACCCGTGGCGTATCAAGGGTTGGCGCTCATGGGGATGGGCGTTGGGTTGTTGACCATTGTAGTGCGGTGGGTGTCAAGGCGGTCGAAGGTGATGTGGGGGGTCGGGGTGGATTTGGAGGGTTATGAGAGCGACGAGAGCGACGAGAGCGATGGTGATGAGAGCGATGACGAAGATGAGAATGGTGAGGATGATGAAGATGATGATGATAGCGACGACGAAGAGGACGATAGCGAAGAGAACGATGACGACGAGGACAGTAGCGAAGAGGACGGTAGCGAAGAGGACGATGACGATGATGACTATGACGACGATGACGATGAGGAGTACAAGGACAACAGGGAGGAGCATAACCAGAATGAAAACGGCCTCTAGAAAGTCTCGGATCTTAAGGAATCGGGTGTTGACGAGTCGAGGTTAAATGTATCCCTGGAATAGGTCGAGAACATGGGTCAAATCATACGCCAAGTGCCCTACAACCAGAGACATTGCTAGAAAGCATCTGTTTATTAGTTACGAAGTCCTATACATATTAAACTCTTCTCACCGCCGCCTGGAGCATCACAAGAACCTCCACGAGTGTGATACACTCTCAGTGTCTTGTAAGAACCTCTTACGGAATCCGGCTAGTTACCTAACACCCGGCCGCCGGCGCCGAATCCGCGCCCCACATCGGCAAAGTGACTCAACCCCCGCGCGCCACCGCCTCCGTCCTCGGAACGGCGCCCCAACACCAGTGCACCTGCACTTCGCCCTTCCATCCGTCTGACATTCCAACCACCAGGCACCCGCACCACTACAACTAGGCACCCGAAATTCACGACACGCCATCCAGGCACCTACAACCTACAAAGTCACCATCATCGGAGCCTCATCCCTTCGTCTCTTCGTCGGCACCCTCTGAATCCAAAATCAAACTCCAAGAAACTCTACCATCGAATCTCATCATACCGAAAATGCCTCCCGCAGCGCCAACACCACCTCTAAACTACGCAACATCCCCCTCCCTCCTCCCCTACACCCTCCGCTTCCACCCCTACAACAACCACCCATCACCATCTTCGTCCTCGCCCTCCCAAGAAGTCTTCCACACTCACCGCCTCTGCGTAGGCGCCGCAGTCCTCTCCCCTTCCACCACCACGTCCCCCTCCTCCTCTTCCCAAACCATCCCCAAAATCCTCCTCCTCCAACGCTCCGCCAAAGAATCTGCCCTCCCCCACAAATGGGAACTCCCCGGCGGCGCAGCAGAATCTCTCGACTCAAACTCCCTCGCCTCCGCCGCCCGCGAACTCTGGGAGGAAACTGCTCTCCGCGCGACAAAGTTCGTGGCTCTCGTAGGGTGTTATCAATGGGAGGGTGCCGGGGCCGGTGAGAAAGCGGAAGCTGTTGCCGGGGACCAGGCGTGGGGTCTATCGAGGGGCGGTGTGGGGATTATTGAGGTTGGACGACCGTCTGACGATGTCGGGATTACGGTGGAGGAGGGGGAGAAGAAGGAGGAAGGGACGACTGCGGGTGTTGGGGCGGTGACGGATTCGCACAAGTTCTTCAAGGGACGGGATGCGTGGAGAAAGTATACTTACCTCGTGGAAGTTGAGACTACTGGGGCGGGGGAGGCGGCGGTTGAGATTGATCCCGAGGAGCACGAGGATTTCGTCTGGGCTACGGAGGAAGAGGTGCGTGCTGACCGGTGCGGGGAGAGGGTGTTTGAGTGGACTTCGGAGCATCAGAAGCTAGATGTCTTGAGGGCTTTTAGAATTGCGAGGGGGAAGAAGTAGGTTCATGATAATGGGGGGTGGTGGATGGGTGAGTTTTATCGATAGACGGGAATGACTAGAAGAAGCGCGGGTGATGGATGCAATTGGTGTTCTCAAGTTCCCTCCAGAGACATGAGGTACTCCCTCTACATAGATATAATGCATGCCTAGACCTACATCCTCACAACCAGCCTCAAGACTCATCAGCCTCTACTTCTTCTTTGATCCCCTCCCACCACGCCCCCCCTTGCCCTGCTGCCCCTTGGCCCCGGACCCCCCGCTCCCACCAGACATCATAACCCGTACCTTACCAACCGGCACGACATTGATACTCTCCTCCGCCTTGAGCGCCTTCATAAGCTCCACCTCTCTCGGCCACATCTTCTCCTTGTCCTGCGCCCGCTCGTCGAGCGCGCCCTTCTTGGACGAATCGCTCTTCCACCTCTCAAACACCTCCTTCACCGCCTTGCCCTTCTTCACCGCGCCAGGCTGGAGCTTGGCCTTATACTTGAACTTGCCCATAGCGGTCCACGGCGCACAGACAGGTATCGCCTCGAGAATCTCGTCGCCGGGGAGAGGCCAGCCAACGAGCGAATCAAGCAGCGTCATCTTGCTCAGCTCATCCGAGTCCAAGACCTCGACGCCTTCCTCGTTCATCAGCCTGCGAATCTCCTCGTGCTCCGCAGTCTCCTTTTGCTGCTTCTCGTGCTGCGCGCGGCGACGTTCCTTTTGGTAGGCCAGCTGAGCCTCTCGGTCCGCCTTGCTCTGCGCCTCGGCCTCGGCTCGTTGCTTGCCGCGCGCGGAGCCGTAGAGGGCTTCGGCTGCTGCCCTGTCCTCTTCGTCTTGGTCCTTGTATTTGGCTGCAATCTTCTTGGCTTTGTTGCGTCGGCCCCGTTTAGCTGGTTGTTGCTTCTCGGTCGTCGCGGTGCTTGGTGCACCGGACGGCTCTGCGGGGGTTGATGTTTGTGCTGTAGCTGCCTTGTCGCTCTCTTCTTCGTCGTCGTCTCCTTCTTCTTCCTCTTCCTCCTCATCCTCTTTCTCTGCTGACTCGGCTCCGTCCTCCGCCGACTGCTCCGCAGGCTTGTCCTCTTCGATCCTGAGTTTGGACAACTCCTCGGCAGGGGACTCTTCAGATGCAAGCTGCTCCTCTGAGTCATCCTGTCCACTCTGTCCAAGATTCTGCAGAGGGTTGTCGCGCGGCTTCTCATCCTCCTGATCGTCCTCGGAGCCAATGTCAGAAGCATCATCCGGGACGTCGTCGTCGGCTTGAGCGGCATCAGTCGCAGTCTCCGGTGCCGCGCTATCAGCGGCCGAAGCGGGAACATCTGCGGTCTCATACAGCCGGTGCTTCACATGTCTGGCCTTGCTCTCTTCGCTGATCTTGAACATGATGCCAAGACCGAGCAGAAGCTGGGCTGGGGGAAGGAAGTTCTTCTGACCCCGGACCATGAAGCTTCCCGTTGGAAGGTACTCTCCGGTAGGAGCAGACTTGGAAACCTGGTCGGCGTTCACCCACCATGCGCCCATGCCTGCCTTGGAATCCCACGCACTCGAGCTGCACACGGCCATTGTGCCTGCCTGCGCCAGCGTCGAAGGGGGGATCGGCGCACCAGGATCGCTGGGAGTGTTTTTGATGATGACGGTCGCGGCGCCGTGCATATCTGCGTGAACGTAGACGTCGCCCTTGCGGAGATAGCGCTTGTACAACATCTCGTTCTGCTGCGCATCCTTGCCTGCCAACACCAGGTATCCATCAGACGAGACAAACCAGGTAAACTTCTCGAACCAGATCTGCTTGCGGATCGGCGCGAGGACAGCCTTCTCCGTCTTGAGGCCCTTTTTCAGCTCTGCCTGGATCTTCTGCTCGGCGTTCTTCAACGCAATCTGAGACTGTAGGACCGTCTTCTCCTCCTTTTTAGCGGCGCTTCTCTTCTGCTCGTGATATCCTCTGGAGTTTGCCCATGGCGTCAGGGTGATATCAACGTCGATTTCCAGATGCTTTGAGGTCTTTTGCTTGTTGCTGGTCTCGTCCTCGTCGCTGTCGGATGCATCAGAGTCAGTCTCGTAGTTGGACTCGTCGTCTTCGATTTCTTCCTCCTCTCCCAACAACAAGGTAATCGTGTTATCCGCAAGTTTAAGCGGCAGTTTGATGATCTCAGCCACAGGGTTGCGACGCTTCTGTTCGCGTTCAATGAGCTTGCTGATGTCAACCCAATCCATGCCCTGCTGGAGCAGTCCATTGACGGCGTCCATCGCCTCCTGCACACGTTCGACGTTTGCCTCGATTGCGGTAGCCTTTTGGACGTTGAGAGATTTCGCCTCTCGGAGACCCTCGATTCGCTTCTCCTGGTCATTTCGCGCTGCGTTAAGCTTCCTCCTGGCCGCGGCCTCTCGTTCGGTCAACCTTGACTCCAGCTTCTGGCCCTCCAAAGACGAGAAGAACTCGTCGACAGTCTTGTTGTAGCCATCAAATTCGATAACCTTGACAGTCGGGTCGTTTGCAAACTTATTCGGCAAAAACGGGTGGAAATCGTCGTAGAGAAGATCCGATCTCTTCGCCTCGTCTCCTTCCGCTGCTGGCGCGCCGTCCGGTTTCGATCGGTACTTTGCAAAAATGTAGCCCTTGGCCGTGGCAGAACTGGTAGCAACTTCCACAATACTTCGGGCCTCAGTCAACGCCTTCAAGAGCGCGTCCAGTAGTGATTCGTCTTCGAGAATCTCGGCAGGTTTCTTGGTGCCATCAAACTTGGTAATCTGGAATGCGTGGTCGACGAGAATAGGCGGTAGTTCGGTGATCGTCGTCGCCAAGCTCCTCCTCAACTCGTCACCAGGCTTCGTCTTGATCTTCTTCCCTGCAGAGACAGCTGTCGCGCTCTTCTTGACTGACAACTCCAGCGCTGCTCGTACTCTCTCCTTCGTAAGATCGGGAACGCCGTTGAAGTTCTGGCGGTTATCTAGTGAGTAGTTCAGCCCAATTCGCTGAGGTTCCTGGCCCTCTCCTTCGGGGACGTTGCGCAGGAGTGTGAGGATCTTGAGGTCGGCGTCGGTCAAGATGACGTTTCCGCTCTGCGCAGAGGACAAAGTCAGTGGTGGATTCTTGGTGCAGGTAGGCAAAGTAAGCTACGTACAGCAAAGAACTCGAGGAAGAGACGATACTGGCCATCGCTAAACTGAAACTCCAGAATTCTGTCCGTTCCAACCTGATTGACAGACGTCAACCGCCTCGTCTTCAGAAACTTGCGCAACCGCGCCACAAAAGCCGAGGGCGCCGCAGCGGTCGTGCGGGTAAAGTCTGTAAGGTGGCATCGGAAGCCAGAATCGATGATAAGCTGCTTCTTGTTATCGGGCTTGGCGAACTTGAGGAGCAGGATCTTGGAGGAGAGGTCGTAGACGTTGGCCAGCCGCAAGGTAGTCAGGCTCTCTTGGAGCTCGTGGGCGATGACTTTGACGTCAATGGAGGAGAAACGCTGCTTCATGACGGCGCGGGAATCGAGTCGTGGAGCTTTCGAACAGAGGTCGGTTTAACAATGCGAGCGCGCCAGTCTTTCTGTGGCGGCTTTGGTGTTGCAAAGAGTTGACTGCGTTGTGTCCGGTGAGGGGCAGGAATTCGTGATGCGAATGAATAATCGCGGGGCATTCGTGGCTGAGGAGCTCTGAAAATATGGGATGCGCCACGATGACGTCACGTGCTTTGTTTGTCACCGGCGACTTCACTCCACGTTCGTCGGATCTTATTGCCGCTTGTTAGGATGTTAGAACAAATTCTTGAGTTTTGTGTAATTCTTAATAAGATAATAAGAGCCTCAAGTGCTTTCAATTGAAACTATGGGCTTCGTTGATGAGAATTGGCCTCATTACGATTTCTCATCCCTCATCCCGAGCTGGCCGTGATGACGCACACCGAACTTCTAGCGCCACATTTCAAGCTTCAAGCAAAGACGAAGAAGAGCTGTCATGCTAAATTAGAGCTCCGTGCCACCGGTTCATGGTGACATATGCCAACTCAAATAAGACGCGACAAAGTCTTTGCCTTGAAAATTGCACTCGAGACGTTGCTACTGAAAGGATTATACAGTCAGTCTAAGAAATTGCCGGTCTTCATTTGATCCATTACAACCACGTGTGTCCGAATGCTTGAATCAATAGAACACTGAATCAAGGAATAGATTCTACGCCCTCCATCAAAGGACAGCTATCATTCAAGACAATACCCTTGATAACCGTCTTGGTAGCATGCCAGTACGACATGCCATTCTATAGGTGGTGCAGCTCAGCAGGTCAAAAGGACTGCAAAAGTAGCATCAATAGCTTGACAGACATAATGGTCATGCCTGACCGCTCAAGCGCTTACTTGATAATTGCAGTGTTCAGTCCGGCATTGGGATCTTTAGGTTGACGATGACTTTCCGTGGTAACTCGAAGTCAAACCTGAACGCAAGCAGGGTATGGATTATACGAGATGCGCGAGCCCGCGCAGCGCAGCCATTGCTTGCCATCCTCGACCCTCAATGAAGAAGAATTTATACCATAAACGTTGAGCCGACATGGAGTATATCAGGTATGTCTTGGAAGAGACGTAACTGATATCGCGAGTTACTTTGAGGTTTTAGGCCTCAAAATCGTTGTCCAATGTCATCTCTTGCTTCTCTGGACGACAGTCTCCTGCGTCCTTCCTGTCGCGACTCCATAATACTCTTGTTGAACAGACAACAGTGAGGAAAGATTTCCAAGCTCTTTTGACTTTCAAACTTTTGACTTTCATGTGATCCATCCTCACAGTTTCACTTGTTGTCCTCTGTTCGATCCCGTCGGCGGCGGAGAGCGATGGTCGTTCAGTGCCGAAGAAAAGGTATCCGATTACAGTTAGCGCGGGAGCCGGGGCCAGGCAGTCGTCACGGCAACCAGGTGCATTGCAAGGGAGCTCCCGCCCGTGTGCCCCGACCGGTTCGTCTGGTTTGATGGCTTTGGTTTGAAACCATTGACAATATGATGCCAATTGGGATGATCCAAGGACGGGAGGC